CATTATATTCACAGGTCGGGGGTGTAGCCTCAACCCCCTATCTCACACTGGGATGTTTATATATAAAAAAAACTTTGGAGATAATCTTATAAACCACAAAACACAAGCTGATAGGTCTGAATTCTGAAACTTTTTTAGGATTTTCCTCTTTGAAATCAGAATAATGGTTGCGTGAATCAATCCCTAAGACATTTTACCTTTCTGAAGAAAGTTTTGCACAACCAAGCAAAAATGATCCTTAATGATATTCCAAGAATTTTGAAAAAATAAAGCATTCCAACCATCAATACCAGGAGCTTCGAGGGGTCCCATTTTCGTTAGAGACAGACCTCTCTAGTTAGCCTATCATTCATATCCACACTAATGGAAGTTGGAATGCCCTCTAAGCTGCAATTCTCAACAATAGGATTAGAAGATCTAAAAAGTTCATCAAAATACCTATTTAACTCTGATAAGTCAAATTGTCTCGAACCGCTTTGTCGTTCAACTCAAACTTGTTTATGTCTTCTCAATCTCCGGTACCTACAAAGTACGTCGAAGGTGGTCCTGGCGCAGACACTCCGACGCTCAAGTCAATGTAGGGTTTTCAGAGTAAAATGGCAGAATAACGAGACATAATCTTAGGTTTTTTTTTTTTGTATAGGTGTGTTGTTATGTAATAATAGAAAAACATGCCCTTTTTATATCGCATCTTTAGTGATTGAGCCAAGGAGACTTCTGGTCATGATCCAGAGTCCCTGACGCATACACCTCTTGGTGATATATATCTTATCCAAAACCATAGAATCCCTCGTATTTATAACATTGTCGATTATTAAAGAATAGACCTCCTCATCTATACAGAACCACCATATCTCTAATATCCATACGTTCTTCTATCGAGCTCAGCCACTATCCGGTCGAGCATCCTATTAAGTGCCCCTGCTATTTACATCGCCGAGCTTATCTACCAGCACTCTTATTATGCCCGTCCACAATCTACCGAGCTTACATAGCTCGTCTTCTTGCATCTGATCAGTTAGTTCAGTTAATCAGCCGAGCTCGTCTTGTTCACTCATAATCAACTGGACTTACTCGAGCTCAATACCTCTATCAAATGGATTCAGTCGGTCAATCCGCTGATCTACTATAATACTGCTCTTGCCGAGCTACGTTTATGCCATATCATCTAGCCCCCCGAGTTTTGGTAGCAAGCTATTATAGGTCATCCCAAAACATTCTGACCATAAACTGTAATAAGCTCGGCAGGATTCGAACTGAAGACCCATGTTACCCTCATACCTAGAATGTCATACTACTTTTTCTAGCCCACAGGGTTTTAGGGAGCAGGCTATTGCGAGTAGCTCAGCATAATGTCTGTTTTTTGAGTCTCAACCATCATATGACCGCTCGTCGTCAGCTCGTTACATTTCCCGATTATCATTACATTTGTACATGCCTTCATGAGGAACCCGTCACATCATGGCGTCTTGCGTCATTGACTGCTAGTATTCATCATCACGATTTCTAGCCTTCACTCTTTCCGCATCTATCAGAACTCATAACGCGGGCTCTCAATCTCAACCACTAACTACTCACCTATTCCAACAACCCCGATGAAGTGACCTTACAACTTATCTTAGCATCTTGAACACACCATTCATTTTGCACCACTGATTAGATTATATATGGACAGTTACAATCACTCAACCCTTCGCCTCTCTCTTTATAGAAATATCAGACCCCTTCGTATACTTATCCTTCTTCTATATTTCTCTATCATCTTCGTTCTCCCATCGACTTTGGCATTCTGTGTACTGTTCACCCGTGCATTGTGAGTTTTTCGAGAACATCCTCATCTCCACGTGCTTTTTGGAACAAAACCATAGGTATGTATCTTTCTGACCTTTATGAAATTTCACTCTGTTATATTATGCTTGATTATCATGGTCTTCTACATCTATGCTTTTTTGGTAATTGAATGTAATACCACTTATTTTTTTTTTTACTATTTAGATCACTTCGCCACTCCGACTAATTTGAAGTCCTACTACCCTTCGAACTCAGAACCACTAGGCGAACTGTCCCTGATCTTAGCTTTCCCGGCACCAATGGGCAGAGCAATCTCCTCCTCGACCACTCGTAAAGCAAAAGTTGTTGTCTCAACCGTGAGCTCGGCCAGGTCTAGCGTTCTTTCTTCATATTCACCCAATAAAATAGCAAAAAGCATAAAGGATATCTAACTTTCAATAGGCTGGGATCTTAAGGTACCCTGCCCTAACAATATGTACACCAATCCTCCTCTAGAATACTATACCTTTTTTCTCGACTAAGCGCCGGTCGGGTTAAGATTCCCTATTCGTGACGACCTCATTGAGCTTAGTAAATTGTACTGGCTGTTGTGTACAAATTGTTATTTTTACCGAGTACTGAATTGAAAGATTCATTCCCCGGGTCGATCTCATGTGGAAGGCGGTTCGGAATTCAGCTTTGGTATAGATCACACATAAAAAAAAAATACAACCTAAACATACTAATCACAATAGGGTTGAGAAATTATTATCCAAGAAATAACATAAAACAATAATGTACCTAAACTAGAAACAACACAAAGACGAAGAAGCTAGGGAGTCGGGGATAATCAATTCAAGTTCTATTTGCAAAAGCGGGACATCAATCATTCTATTCTAGATTGACTCTCGCTTAAACATCTAGCGGTTCGCTCCCAATAACTCTTCGTAACAAGGGATTGAATATAGACGAACAAGCTCGAGCATACAATACAAGTTAGTTATCCAATCCCATTTCGGAACAATGGATGGGTCATCGACAAACACGTATTTCAATCCAAAACCTATAGACTATTCAATTACGAAATCATCTACCTCATGCGAGCCTAGTGTTAGAGATATGCTGTAAAAGCTATGTTTTGCAGATACTATCAATTCCATTTTGATCTGGACATCATGTTTCAGTCAAAGTACATATGTTTGCAGTTTATTATTTATGCAAATCATACTCCATGTCTTATACTGAGATAGTGTGGTTTGAAGTGTTTCGAACAGAAAGGTCACCTATCAGTTCCTTATAAGACTAAACTATTCGTTTACAGTCTAGACAGGCAGTGAGACCCTCTTGGAAAAAGACTGTAGTGTATTCTTTATTCCGTTGGTCTTTTACTGAAGAATTACACTAGCATTTATGACAAGTGTTGAAAAAGACCGCGGAAGAATAAGACTATGAGACTCACTGATCGTTGTTATAATCTAGACCTTCGGTGATTGATGCGTTCTCTTAAGATGTAAGATAATATAAAATAGGCATATATATTCACTTCATGTTTATTTGATTTACCAAGTGATTCCTAATTTTGTTAGGATGACATATGAGATATTTTGGTAAATAAGAATGATTATATGATGTGCAATTATAAGTTATTTATGGTCACTATGTTCCAGCGCGCTGGATTGATGACGTCCCCGAAATGAGCTGAGGAATGTACATTATGTTAAAACCCTGCAGGTAGACGATTGTCTGACATAATGGTTAAGGTTTTGAGTGGTACTAATTTCGGAAATGAATAAGAAGTTGATTAATTATTTTGTCAGTAATTTAATTAATCAGCGGACGTTATATCTTAAACATAGGAGGTATATCGATCAATCAGATTAATATTATTTAATCATGGAGGTTCGAATATATTGATAAATTAGGAGCTAAATGGGGAGAGCAATAATATTACTCTAGTGTGATGTTTTATTATTTAATTCCATTTAATAAAGAATTAACTTTATTCCATATTTATTATTCCATTAGAAAAGAAATATTCTTACTAGAATATTGTCTAAGGTTATGAGACTTGGGAGTCTTCTAGAAGGTGATGAGTAGTAGGAGAGTTCCATCCTAGATTGGATTAGTAGTTGGAGTAGGATTCCTTGGCCTAATGGGATAAACCCATATCTAGCACCTCCTTAAGGTCTCTAATGGAGCCTATAAATACACCATGTCCCAACCTCTCCTACAATGTTGAGCTGGCCAATTTTTCCTCTACACACACGTGAGAAATAGCATCGCTCGAGAGTTAGAGAGATTCGATTAAACGCTCCACCAAGTTTAATCGAAGTAGGTGTTTAGGTAATCCGTTAGAAGGCTTTTTGGTATAATATATTCGAGAGTCTTCCACATATATTTTTCCGGTCATCTTACTCCGCCATAAGCCGTCGTTCGCCGCCACAGAGAGTCGCCGGAAGTCAGCCGAGCCCAGCCACGCGCAACCGCACGCCACCGCACGCAGTCGCGCATAGCCAGGCCTGTTGGAACCCATGAGGATCTCGATATGCACAAATCACGGACAAACATTCAACATAAACCTATGCGCAGCGGATCTAAAGGTTTGATGAAGAAAACTTACTGCTTAAAATTTATGTAGATCTGGCTGGCCCGGACAGTTGACCGCAAATCAAATCTTATCGGAATCGAACAAACTTGACCAATCCAGAAAGCTGACGTCACGGCG